TTCTTAGCTGAAAAAACTGAGATATGAGAATTTCAATGACTTGGTGTCTATGCGCCGTAAGCATTTAGCAGACTTAATATATCTTCTATCTTGAGTATAAAAACGCAACGTCAAGCTGATGATGTCCTACTTAAGTGGTTTATTTAGCTGCCGTTTTATGAAAATACTAAAAACAACAGCAAAGTATTGTTGTTAAAACATGTTAAGAAAACATTGAACCAAAAAATGAAAACCAAGAAGATCATCTCTGTATCTGTCTCTAGATGCATTAGTGAATTAATATATGTATATGCACTACAGCATACAGCATATGTACATATATATATATATTTTGTGAACTTACATTTTGGACGCGTTCGTATTATGAATAAATACGCACATCATTGCATTATCTGCTTATGCCTGAGTATTTTGAAAATACTATTTTTCTTTGAAAGAGTAAATATACATATCTATATATGTGTATATATATGAGAGAAAACTGACATGTCACTGTCAATATGAATGCAGAGAAATGTCTTTAAAAAAATTTCGAAAAATTTTTCTAAAATCATTACCTTCAACTATATACAAATATATGGATTTTGCTTGATTTCTGTTAATATTGCTGGGTCGCGTTTTTTTTTTTTTTTGAAAGACACACACGTCCGACTTTCTTCTCAAAATAAAATCTATGTTGATTAGATCAGTGAAAGTCTATACGCCATGCATGAAAAATTATGAATGAACATTTTTTAAATGCATTGAATGTTAAGTGACGACATACTTTCAAACTATTTAACGTACTAGGCCTGGCAAGATGGTACACTCAACTCGTCCAAAAAAGAAAGAAAGAAAAAAAAAACGCGGCGATAGAAGTGAATATATTTTTGTCCGAGTCCTGAAGAATTCCAGAACGATGGAAAGCACAGCGTGGTTCAATCTACTATGAGAAGTTTTCAATGAGCTCGTCTGCTCTTTGAAAAATTATTAAGTCAAGCCTTTGATGATGGATAAGAGAAGTAAACCAAAAAAAGTCTCTCGGACATCTTTGTGCCTTGTCTTGAGCGTGTCAATGTTAGGGCGAAAAGGGCCGAAGACATTTATTACATACATTATGTGATCAACTGGCAAGACAATGTCCGCGAGTTCACATTTTAGTGCGGTAGAGCGCACTTAGTCTCAGTTATAAGGAGTGCCCACTCGAGAGAGGCATAAGGTACTAGGCTGCGGCCATTCTTTATCTACCTCTCTTTGCTCATTTCTTTCCGACAATCAAGGCTGTATCTCGGTCCTTTGTAAAAAAAAATAGTTTGCGTCGAATTACTTTCTCAAACATGCAAAAGAACGTTAATGCATTTCTTGCGAATAAGTTTGCAGATCTACGGAATACCGAGAACAACTTGGCTCAGACTCATTTTTCGAGTCGATTTCGATCTGTCTATGCGATCGCCTGTCTTTATGTATTTTTATTGCATCTTCCAAAGCGTTATGTGTCGGACCGTTGTCACGACCACTTACTTTAAAGGCAATATATTGAAAAATCGTTATCTCAGAAAGAATTTTGCAAAAATTAAGTGTTTCCGCCAAAAAATCGGTCATTTTGCATAGAACATGCATATCGAAAATCTTAGTGGGGTAGTGGGGAGCATTTTTGAATCTCATCCTACCATATAAATATTATCACAAATAATAAAGCTTTATATGAGATAAGATCAAAAGTTTTCCATCGGGCCTGTCGCTGGCGCTTAGGATCGTAGAAATCTTTAAAAAAAAAATAGTAACTTGTTACTCAGCAAAAAAAGAAGGCGATCCATTTACGGTGTGACACTAGAACACACAGAAACATTAGGGAAAGTAAATTTTACAAAAATGATTACCAAGGTCTTGTAACTAAATACCTGGCTCACTGTCTATCATTCTCATGCAAAACCAAAGCTGATTAGCTCATTAAAGATTTCTATATATTCGCTTGAAGCTGTGGATAACCCAGATGAGCTCCATTGCGAGTATAATTTTCTTATACGCTCGGCTTTTCTCTTTTTTTCATTTACGGTTCATTTCTTTTCTTTCGGCAAGAGAAGTTCTCTCGCCAGCAGTGTGGAGCAATCTACATCAAATTTTCCTTATTTATCGCAAGCAATCTGTCAGAAGTAATATTTATCTTCCGAGACCCGGATCTCACTAATGGATTCGAATAACTGCATTTTCTGCACTTATGCGTCTTATTGACGCAAAAAGTCTACGAAATGCATGAGAAGACCGAAAAGCTTTCCCAAAATATTCGATTGTTTATTTTTGGGAATAATATGAAAAATAATAAATTCATGGTGGCGGACATAATTTCCCTTTCAAGCGAAGAGGAATTTTAATAGTACCCACTTGTATAATTTATTGAAGTTTAAAAGTGCACCAATACGAGGCTCGGGCGGTTGAATGCTGGAATCCTCTAGACAGGCAAGAGGATCTACATTGGAAATGTAGGCCTGTTTGCTATCAATATCTGATATAATTTTAAAAGAGCAGCTGTTCACTCGCAACAATTCTTACAATTTTTCTCCTCTTAGATGCCTACAAAATTTTCTGCTTTCAATGACATTCTAAGCATGGCGTTTAGAAAACTTTCAAGTCACTGGCAAAGCATTGTTAAGTCTTTGGCAAAGTGTTGATAAAGCGTTTGTATAATTATTACCATCGCTATGGTTATCAACGCATTTTGTTTGCTCACTGCTAAGCCTTTATTTTATACCTATCACCGAAGGATGAGAGGTATATTCATTTTGTCAAAACGTTTACAACGCACAGAAGGAAGCGTCGGGGACTCCACAAAGTGTATGTATTCTTGATCAACATCAAATTCTAAATCAATTTAACCATGTCTGTCTGTCCATCTGTCCATCTGTGTAATGTCTGTTATAAATATTCTCCTGGGCGCAAAAATGAATCTATCGACTTCAAATTTGGAAGTTCTTGCATGCAAGTTGCTATTGAAAATGGGCCAAATCATTTGAAGGACACACCCACAGCACCACGAAAACTGAGAACACCTCTGTTTTTCAAAAGAAACGAAAAATTGGTGTTTTGCTGGTTACTCATAGAATATAGCAAATAAATGTACAGAAATTTGAACGCAGATTCTATGGGCGATGCTTATGCACAAAAATGGGGAAAATTGACCACGCCTACCCAAAGTTATGGTGTTTCAAAATTTAATTGTTTTTTTAATGCCTTATAACGCGAAGAAACAAGCTTGAAAAACCCCATAAGGCATAGAAATCCTTGGCGAAGTACAACCCTTGAATGCGCCTAAGCAAGACCATCTATCTTTTGGCGCAACTTGGTAGTATTTGTGGTAAACGTTCCCCCGTTAGCGAAAATGAAGACATCGCCCACAAATTTGCAAAATAATTTGGAATTGACCTAAAGTCCTCAAAGAAGACGCCTACAACGCCCACATGCCTCTACGAGAAAAACTTTTATTTCGAAAATAGAAAAAACAAACTGGCCTTACTCCATATCGTAGAGCATGAAAATTTTGTTCTTTTACTTCTTCTGTCTTTAAAAGATACGACACCGACCGAATTTAATTTTCTTACTTGTCTCATATAGAGACTAACATAATAGTCATAATGGAAAATTGATGGTATTTTCCAACAATTATTACTGGTGCATTTCAATTTGATTTAATATATGGAAAAAAATGTTGTCTTGTGACCATCAAATTGAGCCTCGAAATGAAATATTTCTAATGGCAAAATAAAATATTGTACTTTACTAAGAAGGAAATTGTAATTATTTATTTGAAATAAGAAAAACAATTAATTATTATTTGAGTACATTTTAAAAAGACGAAAAAATAAATCGCCGAGTGTAGCGTGTTATTTCGATTTTCAATTTTTACAAAGTAGAAATAGCATGGTGCACCTATAACTGACTAAGACTTCTTTCCGCTCGTAAAGTGTTTAAATGCTTATATGCATGCATTGATGATGTTAAACGTTTGACTTGTGACTTGTGGTCGACTTGTGACTTAAAAAAAAGAAAGGATAAGTTTGGTTATTATTTTCAAAGGATGGCATTCGTTTGCAGAATATACGCGATTATATGAATATTAGAAGAAATGTCAAGATAATGATATAACCTAAAAAGAAAAAAAAAAAAAAGGCGATCTTCTTATGTAAGGAATTAGTAATAAATAAACGAACAATTAAAAGAGAATTTCTTTCTTTCTCTCTCTCTCTCTCTCTCTCTCTCTCTCTCTCTCTCTCTCACTCACTCTTCCCGTTTCAACAGCACGCCATGTGCCGTTGCCTACATGAAGATTCTTAAAAGAAAAAGTCATTTTTTTTTTTATTATTGTTTTAACTGAATTATTTTATTGCATTCTAATCATTTTATTCTTGTTGTTGTTGTTATCTTTTAATATTAAGCACTATATTTATATTATATATATATATATTTTTTTTTTAATTTATATATCTTTTATGTACTAAATACTTGCTCTTACAAACTATTTACAATGGATTTACACTCAACCGGTAAATGCCGAGGCTTTAGTACGAACCAAACAAAAGCTCACATCAAAAATTTGGCGAGTAAGAAGAACAAAAAAGGAAAAAAATTGCCAAAATTGTTTTTTTTTTTTTTGCCTTTTGGATTTGCGAAATATATTTAAAAAAAAAAACAAAAATCTTTGAATTAATTTTGATGAAAGAAGAAAAGAAAAGAAAAAAAAAACATATGAAGATTTGTGCGCAAATGCATATAATTTATAAATATTTTATAATGATGTGTATGATTAAGGTATAATAAAATGAAAAAAAAAAAAATGAAAATTTTAACACTAAATTATTATATAAAATATACAAAAATCTATACTTAAAAAATTAATTAAAATTTCATTCATTGTTTTATTGTTTTCATTAAATTTAAATATATACTTATAAGTGGTTCCTCTTTTCATTTTTTCTCTTTCCTTTTTTTATTTATTTATTTATTTATTTATATTTTTCTGTCGCGATTTATTTTACTTGATGTATAGTTAGTTATGTTTTGTGTATGGATTTAGGTAAATATTCTCTAACAATGTGTTTTAATGATTGCTTTAAATATTCTTTAAAAGTGAAACTATCAGCTGATAAAGGACATTAGTTGTGTTATATTCAACGAATAAAGGATTTGTTAACGCAAAGGTAGCGTTTTTTATCGTACGTCGATCGTTCTATACTTTCGGCCGATATCATGTTATTTCGGGCGCACTGTGTGCAATATCAGGCGATGTTGAAAAGGGTCGATGCAATAATTGTCCCGTATGATGATAGGCTGTTGTAGTAGTAGTATTAGTAGTTGTCGGCGAATTACTATTGTAATCTTGTAACGTTGATGTTGGCGGCGGATGAACACTGTGCTGCGAGTGGCTAATAGCCGTTAAACTTGCCGCAACACTATGAGCAGCCGAGTTAAGTTTCTCTGGTGAATTGACGCGTATCTTCGGTGTTGCTTGCTGTTGTTGATGTTGCTGGCTAGACGTCGCTGGCGGGGGTGGGAGTCCAGCTGCAGCAGCTGCGGCCGCAGCCGCTGAACAATCGACCGCATAAGCCGCAGCGGCGTAATTTGGATGTAAATGTCCGCCATTTAAGCCAGCCAATGCTTGCGGTAGATGAGGATGAGGTCTTATAACGATCGGTTGTATGGGAAATTGTTGCGTCATTTCTTTTAGATTTGTAAAACTTTGCAGATAACAACCGGCATTAAAGAGACTGGTGGCGGCATCCAATTTGAAAGCGGGCAAGCAAGCGTGCGACATACTAGCGTTAACAGTATTCGCGTAAGCAGGTATACTGGACGAGGATAGGGAACTGGATAGATCGCGCGGTTTATCATCGTCGACACTAAGGCTTTCGTCACGATCATTAGCTCCGTTCGATGTAGAACCAGGACTATGTTGCAGCTGTAGGCTATTCGGAACCGGGGAATGCGTTCCTAACGATATATCCGAATCCGAAGTGTCAGAGGGAGTTGGTGACGGTGCACCGTCGGGACGACGACTTCGACAACCCATACCAGAAGAGTTTTGATTATGTTGTAATCTTAAATGATGAAAATAAAGAAAAATGAAAAGATTTTTGTATGTAATAATCAATATAGAAAAGAAAAAAATACATGAGCCGATGGACACGTTCGCACGTTCGCTTATTACATATTTACCAAAATCTAGGGTGCTTAAGTGCTCTTAAAAGTAGCGAATACTTCATAAACAGGGGATTTAACTAAATGAAAAAATTTGGGAAAAAAGGGCTGCTTTACCAAAGGAAGCATTAAGTGAATGCGTTGGTCTAGGAAAGGTCTTCTTATAAGCTGAGAGACTTGCTGATACCTATGCAGTTTTATGAGAGAATCTGCCCAGATAGCCTGTTTGGCCTTACAACGGATTATTTGGAGTAGGAGAGTTCCTCATGTAAGTGAAATAAATATAAGCCATTTTTTCCCGCAGCTGGGGTTAATGTAAGGCCCATCTAACACCTTATTGTTTAACGTCCCCGCAATGTTTTCTTTCTTCTACTTAATGTTCAAATGGGAAACAATAACCTCTAAGCTTGTGTTGGAGTGCCTTCAAGCCTTGACTGAGCTACGTAAGTACAACGAAGCAGACATTCAGGCATCGAAGCCAACGAAAGGGCTGCCAGTTTAGCTAAGAGAGGAGCCCGAAGAACTACGATAGGTTTAAAAACCTTTCTGTGGCACACCAGGGAGCCACATCGAGAGGCTGGCACAGAACAATCCAGTAAACTATTGGAAGCACAGTGCAGAACAACGGAAAGCTATAAGATCAAATAAATGTTATGGCGTAGTCTACTAGTAGCTATTGAAACTGAAACCCCCTCACGTAGCACCTGAAAAGTATAGGCATCAACGGTTCATGTAGCCTCTTTCAGCTGACAAAGGAAACGACCCATCATTTCCTGTACGCAAAAAAAGATACTAGGTATTTAACAAGCGCTTCGAAGCTGAGAAGGTGGCGGGATTCATAAGAATCCTAAAATTTGCGAGGGAGAGGCATGAGCAAGTGCAATCGCACTATGGATTGCCCATAGCATCCATATCAACGGCACTCTGCTTACGATCATTATCAAATATCTACCCTAAAGCTAGAGCCACTGCCAAGAACTAAAGCCAAAGCGATTCATTTCGTGACTTTGCATTGGAACGCGAAGACATACACTCTCTCGTTACACTATGAGAAGATTTTGTTGATTCTTTACAATTTTGCTAATGGTTGATATATAATTAAAAGATCCTCCTTAAGCAAACCAATAATTTGGAAGCTCTTATGAATATATCATATCCAAATACCAAAAACACTAAACGCAATATGCGAAGATTTCAAAAGATGATCTCTACCAGCGTGGCTTTGTTTTAAGATAATTTTCTTTTTCTATACAATTATTTCTTGAAAACGCATGATCGTTGCAGATTAATAATAAAAAATTTTTGACATCTCTTTTAGTGTACACACAAACGCATATATATATCTTATAAATATATATATATATACATATATGTGTAATACATGCATAGATAAAAGTAAAAGTTAAATGTAACATTTTAACCTCTCTGTAATTATTATGATGAGAGCAATTAGTTAAAGCTTCATAAGTTGGCGGCATTTCGTGTATGTACGTACGTATAACACTGACCAACACGTACACGTATTTAGTTCATTTAACTTGCTTCACACATTGTTAAGTCAGATCAGCTGGTTGATTATGTTGGTTGGCTGGTTGGTCGGTCGGTATTTGGCCTTTGATGATTTGCGATGCAGTGCGGCAGTCATTGTTGTTGACTAATGGACAGTTTAGCGAATAATGTTTCATATCTAAACGCCCGTAATGTGTTTATGTATACATGCATACGTATAAATGTATATATATATATATACGTGTATCTAGATATATTTATATCTCTGCGCGATTTGTGGTAACATCTCACTTTTCAAAATTTAGTCATCAAACATGACTGTCATACTTCTCTTCTCTTCTTTTTTTTTTATGCTTTTGCTCGTGTCCTTCGTAAAGAGTTTCCTCTCCGTTCGTTAAATTCACTGAAGTCTCCCTTTGGGGCGGCTAATGGCAACATGCTAGCTCCTACGTTGTCATAATTATTGGTTCCTGTTGTGTAACGATTTTCTGTTTCATGCCTGACTGAATATATATGTGATGATGGTGGCAGTGGTGGCATGGTCTCTATCAGGCTTCTTAATCATTTTTGTTTTTTTTGTTTTTTTTTTTTTTTCTAACCATTTCACCGCACATTTCGTATGGAATTGTGGTGCAAAATAACTACTCATAATCATCACTCATTTTGACTTGATGGTGTTCCATCATCTTTGGAGCTCATCAGTTTCATCAGGAACTTTTCTTTACATTCATTGCCCTTTTTCTGTTTATTGTTGTTGTTGTTGTTGTTGTTGTTGTTGTTGTTGTTGTTGTCTTGGTTGTTTTTATTGTTATCGTTGTTGTTGTTGTTGTTGGCCAGCTATATTCCGGCTTTAAGTTGCATTTAATGCCATTGTACTGGTTGGTGCGTGTTGAGTGATTAATGGCATTCACATCAGAAACGTTTTTCGCAGCTCATAGCAAATTGAGTGTATAAACTGGTTGGTATCTCTTATCGGTTATGGTCGTCGGTCGGTCGGTGGCAATCTCATCATCACATCACATCACATCACATCACATCACATCACATCACATCATATAGTACATCATGCAATCTCATCAAACTTTATACATTCTTAACCATTATTGCATGCATACTGTGTGTGTTGCGATGATATCCCTACGAACTCATATGAAATCTAAATGACGGTTTAAATGTTATTTTAACGTGTGCTGCCGTTGATAGATTGATGTTCGCTTTGTAAACTCTATCAGATGTGATTGAGTTTAAGTGTGAAAATGAAGCTTTCAAAATCTATTCATTAAACATTAAAGATCGTTTTCTTAAATAGCTATTTAAGGTTTTTGATGGGCGTAACTAACTATACTATGGAACTAGCAAATAATTTAAGACAAACTGCTCTTGAACTTTCAACTTTTTTCTTTTTTCTTCTTAAGTTTTTTGTTAAGAAACATATTAAGAACAGATTGGTTAAGTGTAGGTTAAGCTTAGTGGCTTTCAAAGTTATTTAAGTAAAGAGGAAAGTAGAACAAACGAAAGGTAAACATTTGGTCGACTCTCTACATTGTTGAACCAGCCAAACATGATTCTATAATTAAATGTCGGACTTTAACAAATTACATGTTTAATGAAAAGCAGAAAATATGCAGTGACATAACCTCAAAAGAACTGAAAATAAGGCGAATTGTGAAGGCAACATGTGTGAGAACCAAGGTCGTCTATCATTTCAGTCTCCTACAATAAAGAATTGCATCATTTCAGGATCAAATGAAGTTTCATACACTCATGTAGCCTAGTGTTAGGTGCACTATGATCAGACGGCAAAGTCAAACTAATCGAAAAAAATCGCTCCAGCTTAGGAAAAGACGTTTCTCCTCTCGGGATTTCTACCGTCATTTACTTCGATCAGGGTAGAGTGAAACACACCTGTTCTGATGCTACCGCCGAAGAATGTCGGAATGTTAGTTTCGTTTTTCTCTTTATTACACGCTAACTGGATCAGCGTAAAAAATATATGCAACCAAGTCCTTGTGTTTTGACTGTACTACCATAAGAGGGCAGTATATTAGTCTCATCCCCCTTTTTGGTACATTTCAAGACGATCAAAGTGATTTTCGGAATCGACGAACCAAGACCGTATGGCCTAAGTTTATAGTCGAAAAATGAGAGTTCGAAAATTTAGCCGTTTTCTTTGCATTCGTCCTTGAGCAGCACAAATGTTTGAATTTACTGTTTGCACGTTTGCATATCCGCTAATCCGGTTCCCGGTGCAGTAGAACGTACTACAATTACGGTTTGTATGTATTCTGTGCTGTAGTGAGTGCTTGGTCGCTAAAGGCGTAACACTTACCGGTCGAATCCGCCGGTCACTCCCTGTCTTTCTCTAACAACATTGTTTTTATGGCAGAAGGTTGCAGAAGGTTGAGCGGATATATGCAATACTGAGCCCAACTCTTATTATATCGATCGATTCGGAATCACTTTTTGAATCGATCTAAACTTGTCCGTCCGTCCAGTCGCCCTTCTGACCTGTTTTCTTGTTTTCCAACCTACAAACTGCGATTTGTGATACATTTTCATGCAACTTAGTACACCAACATGTTGTGCTTTCGAAAATGCTTCGGATCGGACCACTTTTTCGACAACTTCCCGTATAACGCCTTATTTTGAAAGTTTGTTATATGAGTGAATATATAGTTTGTTATATAGTGACATAGTGTATATAAGGGTTGGCTGTCCACTACAGTGTTTTTAATTGTTTCGGGTCGCTCCTCGTTACACATTTAGGAGATATCCTCTAGTAGTTGATCGTAAAAAAAAAAGATAAAAATGGACTTCTAGAGCGATTCAATCGGCTATCTATTGCTTAAACTCCAGTTTGCCGATTATGAAAGTCGGACCTGATGCGTTAAAGTCCATCTATTACTTCAATCGTCGTCTTCTATTAGAAATCTCATCATCACATCAGAAAGAGAACAAAAAACTGAAATTCGCCGCGTGTTCTTTCAGCTCAAAGGCATAAATCAGTTACAAAATAGATGCGATCTCTTTTGGAACCCACTTGCGATTGTTAAAAAACCTACGCAAACTTCAAAAGAGCAGAATTACAATATATTCTTAATGGCCCGCACGCAGTTAACAAGAAACTTTGTGATTTTCATTTATTCTTTTAGAACTCGTGGCTATCCACAGGTCGCTGCAAGGCAAATATGATTTTCGTGGTTGTTAAGATGCTTTCCAAAATCTTATGTTGCAAATGATTTTTGAAGAGTTTTATCAAAAATTTAATCATACGGAATAAACATAATTCAGAAAACTTTGTCGCAAAATGTTTTTTTTTTTTTTGTGGCACAAAAGCTGCTAAAGCAATGTTGCTGTGGTAGCTTTACTTAAGTTATCAATACCGCTTATC